CCGTTCTCTCCCCCCCCCCTTGTTTTTAGACGGCAAATTTTTCCCTTTGGTAGCAAAGGGGAAGTTTTCAGCAGGGGGTTACCCTGTATCCAACTTTTGTGAACACACCCAAAAAAAAGGGGCACAGGCTCATTTTTTGCCATATTTTTTTTAGTCTCTGAGCCAGCATGCCCTTTGCGGGAAAGTAGAAAATAAACCCATGGATGCGCCGAACAAAGCGGGAAAATCTACTTTTGGAAAAAAAAACTAGAAAAGGGTTTTTTTCAGGGGGAAAGTACGGTGACCCTTTTTGATGTGAGGTAATACTTACCAAAAAAGGTCATCACACTTTTTCTAGTTTGGAGCAAACATAAAAAGTTTTGTATGGGGAAATTGGCCCAAATTTTATCCCCTTTGCGCGGGCCCCTCAGGCCCCTTCAAGAGTTTCAAGAACCCGGGGGGGGTGGGGGGGGGGGTTTTGGGTTTAAGGCCCTTGTTTTCGCCCGGTTACATGATCGGGCCCTTTTTCCTGTGAGTCAGGGGACTTTGTGCTGGGAGCTCTGGGCCCCAACTTTCAGTTGCAAAAAAATAAGTATGTAAACCCCCTTTGGGGTTTAAAGGGGAGTTTTGCATTTTTGGGGCAAAATGTGCTTGAACGTATCTAAGTAAACTCAATAGAAAACCAGTTTTTTCCCTATTTTTGGGTGACTTTAGATGACGTTCAGGGGCACATTTTATGCCCAATTCATGCAAAACTCCACTTTAACCCAAAGGGGGTTCACTTTACTTTTTTTTTTGCAATGTATGTATTTTTCAAATGGGACGAAAAATATGCAGCTGTAAGGCCGCTTTTTTGGGCGTGGGGTTTGGGGCGGTTGGGGTTAAGACATACAAATGCCCCGGGGAAACAACTCCTCATAACCAAAACCTTAAAACCCACCATCACAAAAAACTGCTTCTTTACCAAAGATGTGGCCTGTGAGTGCTGTATAAACTGTATTAGCATCAGCCAATATGAGGTGTGACCATTTAATTCTGGTATGGACTGTAAAAATTTGTTCAACTCATGGATGTTGTCTACTGTGTCAACGAAGTGGGTAAGGTCTCAACTACCTCTGGGCTGTATCATATTAGCGGCGGCACTGGAGTGTCCGGGAATGTCATCAATTGGGTGTCATTTTAAGATATTACTTTCATTTTGGAAACAGCCCAAATAGTGGCGCTAGGGTGACCAAGTGGAGGAATGAGGTGGTTGGTCAAGTTTCGGAATGGAATCTTTATGGACCAAGGAAACTCGCTAAACATGCAATCAACATGCAGTTGGCAAGCCAGAGTGAGGACGACTGAACTCCTCGTGTAAAGTTCCCGCAGCTTTGCTGTGCAGCTGCTGCACCCCCTTGTCTTCTGCCTCCCTGGTGTCTCTGCAGAGCTCTGAGCCCTCCTCTGGTGTGCTCCTCCAAAAACCCTGCACCGTTCTGCATTCCCAGTCTCCTTCTCAGACAGCGAGCACAAGGAATGGGGATTGCGAGCGGTGATGTAAGGGGGGCGTCTTGGACATAGGATGAGTGTGGAGATGGTGGGTGTGTGAGGAGAGTGTGAGGGTGGAGAGGGTGAGGTTGAAGAGTGAGGAGAGGTGAGAGAGAGGTGTGGAGAGAGAGGGAGGGGAGAGATGAGGGGGTAGGGGGTGGGAGAGAAGGTAGCGGAGAGAGAGAGGGTGGGATGAGAAGGAGAAGAGGGGGAGGGAGAGGGAGGGAGAGGGAGGGGGAGGAGGTAGGAGGGAGGAGTGAGAGGTGTGGGGAGGGGGAGGGAGTGAGAGGAGGGGAGAGGGAGAGGGGGGAGGGGGGAGGGAGAGAGAGGGAGGGGGAGGGAGAGATGGGAGGGGTGAGGGACGAAAGGCGAGAGGAGGAGGAGGAGGGAGGAGAGAGAGAGGAGGGAGGATGGAATGTGAGATGAGAGGGGAGGGGGAGGGAGAGAGGGGAGGGGGATGGGAGAGAGGGAGGGGGAGGGAGAGAGGGAGGGAGGAGGGAGAGGGAGGGAGGAGGGAGGGAGAGGGAGGGCGAGGTGAGTGGAGAGGGAGGGTGTGAGGGGAGGGAGAGGGGAGGGAGGGGGAGAGGGAGAGGGAGGGTGAGGGAGAGTGTGAGGTGAGAAGGGAGAGGAGGAGAGGTGGAGTAGGGAGTGGAGATAGGGAGGGAAGAGGGAGTGGGAGAGAGGATAGGGAGGGAGAAGGTGAGGGAGAGGGAGGGAGAGGGAGGGTAGAGGGAGGGAGAGGGTGGGAGAGGGAGGAGGGAGAGGGAGGGAGACGTGGGCAGGGAGGGGGAGGGGAGGAGAGGGAGAGGGAGTGTGTGTGTGTTGGGGGGGGGGGGGGGGGGGTTGCTCTGAACATTTATAGTCTTACAGATACAAACTGACCCTTTTGAGGACCATACTGCTGATGTGTCCCGCAATGAATGGAGTTTGACACCCCTAGCTTTCATGGTTGGGCCCTTTCAGAAAAACTCCTCATTGCCTGGCTGTGGCTGACCTCAACAATCTTGACTCATCAAAGCAGATCAAGCATGCAGCGAGAGAAAAATCTATAAAATCCTTATTTATATACTATTATTATTATACAGGATTTATATAGCATGAAACAGTTTGCTCAGCGCTTTACAATATAATGGGTGACAATACAGCAACAATACAGTTTAATACAAGAGGGAATGGAGGGCCCTGATCATTAGTTCCAGGTCATAGGGTACTAGAACAAGAAGCTCCATTCCCAAGAAACAGCTGAAGGGACAGATATAAAAAAAATCTAGGATGTAACAATGCACAGCAGCTGATGAAACTTCTGCTTACCCCCTGTGCCCATCCGGCATATGGACCCCACAAGTTCCGAAAGTAATCTCCTGTAAGAAGAAGAGCATATTAGGAAAGGTAAGAATGATCATATACAGCTAGAACTGGCAACCACAAATAAATGAATAGCCCAACACTTGATCAGAAGTAGCCAGAAATACTCATATTAGGCCCAGCAGTGTGGCATTAAAATTTTTACTAGTGTGACAAAAAAAACGGTGACCTGCAACGCATGTTCTGTTGAATGCAGATCAGAAAAATCAATATTTGCCACATTTCACAGAAACATGACAATTTGCAGGACATACAATTGAAAAGATTGCATATAGATTGGGTGCACAGAATGAGCGCATTAATGGTTCAAGCAGTAGGTGGCGCAGGACTCCTTACAAATGATGGTCATCATGACAAAATGGATCATTTTTCACAATTTGAAATTTGGTGACAATTTCGCACATAATTTCCCTGTTGCAATTTCTCACTCCAGTAGTTTATAATGATCCTCTACCCCAAGAGGATAATACTCTTTATTTGGAAAGACCACAAATAAAATCAGATATGTAACGTTAGTAAGAAAACAAGCTCTCAAAAATTAAAGTGGACCTTCGCCTCAAAACACAAATGGTTTGCACCTGGCTCTAGCCTCCTTCTACAAATGGATATTTTTTTTCCCATTTAGGCCCCTTCCACACGTGGGGTGGATTCTGAAAGGAATCCACTTGATCAGCAGGGGTATCTGTCCGATGAACCCCACTAGGGGGGGGGGGGGCCTGAATCCTTCCACTTGATTTTCCTCTCTGAATTGACATCAGATCCCCATCCCCTGCTTCAGGAAGCTCAGAAATGCTGTGTAAATTCTGCACTTAAAATGGCTGCAGAAGAGAGATGGCTGCAGATAACAAGGTACAACCTATGCAGAGCAATACGTTTCAGCTCTGTATATCACCTGAGGCTAGTCATTTCATTGCATATGTAAGGTTTTACAACCACTTAAAGGAAGAGCAATAGGCAGTGATACAGTAATACACAACAACCGCGTTCAAAATCCGTCAGAACAGTAAGGAAAATGTTATTGGTGGTGGGCGGAGATGGGTGGAGAATGCAGAGATCAGCATGGATGAATCAATGTACGTGAAATATTCTTACCGATCTCTCGGTAAACTCGATCGGTGATGCTTTTGTTCCCCTGGCCGAGCTGAGGCATATAGTCTCTCTTAGCGATTTGCCAAACGTGGGTGTCCACAGGTACGGCTTCAGGTTTGTCAAGTGCCATCAGGCAAACACAGTCAGCAACCTAAAATCACATGTAGAATATGGAAAGACATACTGTGTAAATGAGACAACTCCACCCCTCATCCCCCCTAATACTGTGATCAAAACATGGCCAAAAAAACTGGTTCAAATACAGCTAAAGACAGCATGGCTTTTGAAAAGGAACCCAATAATACAGCGGTTCTCAACCTGGGGGTCGCGACCCCTTCGGGGGTCAAACGACGCTTCCACAGGGGTCGCCTAAGACCATCGGAAAACACATATTTCCGATGGTCTTAGGAACCGAGACACCGCTCCTCGCCGCCGCCTCCAGGTGTGGGCGAGATGACATGCCGCCCCTGTCATCTGGACACACCTCGAGATCAATCCTCGCCTGTGATTGGCCGCCGGCACTGTAGCTCAGGAGAGGCACACAGGCGGCCAATCACCGGCAAGGAGGTGGAGCTTGGAGAGGAGGAGCCGAGCGGCACCGCGAAGATCGAGCGAGTGAAGAGGAGGAGAGAGCGGCCGGAGAAGGAAAGGACATCTGACAGGTAAGTGTCTGTACCATGGGAGAGGGAGGGAGCGAGCGAGCCCAGGCTGGAGCAGGGGTCTGCAAGGTAAGTATCATTGGTGTCAGTGGGAATAGTGCCCCATCATTGGTGTCACTAATACCAATGATGGGGCACTATTCCTCCCACTGACACCAACGACGGGGCACTATTCCTCCCCCACTGACACCAAGGATGGGGCACGATTCCTCCCCCCACTGACACCAAGGATGGGGCACGATTCCTCCCCCCACTGACACCAAGGATGGGGCACTATTCCTCCCCCACTGACACCAAGGATGGGGCACTATTCCTCCCCCCACTGACACCAAGGATGGGGCACTATTCCTCCCCCCACTGACACCAAGGATGGGGCACTATTCCTCCCCCCTGACAACAAGGATGGGGCACTATTCCTCCCCCCACTGACACCAAGGATGGGGCACTATTCCTCCCCCCACTGACACCAAGGATGGGGCACTATTCCTCCCCCCACTGACACCAAGGATGGGGCACTATTCCTCCCCCCACTGACACCAAGGATGGGGCACTATTCCTCCCCCCACTGACACCAAGGATGGGGCACTATTCCTCCCCCACTGACACCAAGGATGGGGCACTATTCCTCCCCCCACTGACACCAAGGATGGGGCACTATTCCTATCCCCACTGACATCAAGGATGGGGCACTATTCCTCCCCCCACTGACACCTATGATGGGGCACTATTCCCCCCCACTGACACCTATGATGGGGCACTATTCCCCCACTGACACCTATGATGGGGCACTATTCCCCCCACTGACACCTATGATGGGGCACTATTCCCCCCCACTGACACCAATGATGGGGCACTATTCCCCCCACTGACACCTATGATGGGGCACTATTCCTCCCCCCCACTGACACCAATGATGGGGCACTATTCCTCCTCCCACTGACAGCCAATGATGGGGCACTATTCCTCCCACTGATACCGATGATGAGGCACTATTCCTCCCACTGACACCAATGATGGGGCGCTATTCCTCCACTGATACCGATGATGGGGCACTATTCCTCCCACTGACACCAATGATGGGGCACTATTCCTCCCACTGACACCAATGATGGGGCACTATTCCTCCCACTGACACCGATGATGGGGCACTATTCCTCCCACTGATACCAATGACGGGGCACTATTCTCCCACTGACACCAATGACGGGGCACTATTCCTCCCACTGACACCAATGACGGGCACTATTCCTCCCACTGACACCAATGACGGGGCACTATTCCTACCACTGATACCAATGACGGGGCACTATTCCTCCCACTGATACCAATGACGGGGCACTATTCCTCCCACTGACACCAATGACGGGGCACTATTCCTCCCACTGACACCAATGACGGGGCACTATTCCTCCCACTGACACCAATGACGGGGCACTATTCCTCCCACTGACACCAATGACGGGGCACTATTCCTCCCACTGACACCAATGACGGGGCACTATTCCTCCCACTGACACCAATGACGGGGCACTATTCCTCCCACTGACACCAATGAAGGGGGCACTATTCCTCCCACTGACACCAATGACGGGGCACTATTCCTCCCACTGACACCAATGAAGGGGGCACTATTCTCCCACTGACACCAATGACGGGGCACTATTCCTCCCACTGACACAATGACGGGGCACTATTCCTACCACTGATACCAATGACGGGGCACTATTCCTCCCACTGATACCAATGACGGGACACTATTCCTCCCACTGACACCAATGACGGGGCACTATTCCTCCCACTGACACCAATGACAGGGGCACTATTCCTCCCACTGACACCAATGACGGGGCACTATTCCTCCACTGACACCAATGACGGGGCACTATTCCTCCCACTGACACCAATGACGGGGCACTATTCCTCCCACTGACACCAATGACGGGGCACTATTCCTCCCACTGACACCAATGAAGGGGGCACTATTCCTCCCACTGACACCAATGACGGGGCACTATTCCTCCCACTGATACCAAGATGGGGCACTATTCCTCCCAATGACACCAATGACGTGGCACTATTCCTCCTTACTGCAAAATTACAGTTATGAAAGTAGCAACGAAAATAATTTTATGGTTGGGGTCACCACAATATGAGGAACTGTATTAAGGGGTCGCGGCGCTAGAAAGGTTGAGAACCACTGCAATAATAGATATAATTTTGAAAGTCCTAAATAAAATCATTATACTGTATATTTATTCATACTACTAAAAGCATATTAGGAAAAAGAAAATGTTCAGGTCTGCGACTCACTAGGTATGAAGGCAGGAGTCAAGGTGACAGCCCTGGAGCTGGCCTCTTAAAAAAAAGACCGCAATGGGATTCAACATTTTTTTAGGCTTAAAAATTTACCATGAACCTGTCATGCCTCCGCACCCATCAGTAACTCAGCAGCTCAGCTCACCCTGCACCTTCACCCGTCAGCAACTCAGTAGCTCAGCTCACCCTGCACCTTCACCCATCAGTAACTCAGCAGCTCAGCTCACCCTGCACCTTCACCCGTCAGAGAGGGGAGCAGAGTAAGCGAAGCTGCTGAATTACTGACAGGTGAAGGTGCAGGGTGAGCTGAGCTGCTGAGTTACTGACGGGTGAAGGTGCAGGGTGAGCTGAGCTACTGAGTTACTGATGGGTGAATGTGCAGGGTAAGCTGAGCTATTGAGTTACTGACGGGTGAAGGTGCAGGGTGAGCTGAGCTGCTGAGTTACTGAGGGTGAGAGTGCAGGGTGCCCTGAGCTGCTGAGTCATTGCTTAGAGAGGGGAGCAGCGTAAGCGAAAACTGCTGAATTACCAAGCAGTGACTCAGCAGCTCAGGGCACCCTGCACCTCACCCATCAGTAACTCAGCAGCGCAGCTCACCCTGCTCCTTTCTCCAAGCAGTAATTCAGCAGCTTCACTTACTCTGCTCCCCTCTCCAAGCAGTGACTCAGAAGCTCATCTCACCCAGCTTCCCTCTCCAAGCAGTAACTCCGCATCTCAGCTCAGCTCACCCCATCAGTAACTCAGCAGCTCAGCTCACCCTGCACCTTCACCTGTCAGTAAACTCAGCAGCTTCACTTACTCTGCTCCCCTCTCCAAGCAGTGAATCAGCTGCTCAGCCCACCCTGCACCTTCACCCATCAGTAACTCAGCTCACGCTGCACCTTCACCCATCAGTAACTCAGCAGCTCAGCTCACCCTGCACCTTCACCCGTCAGTAACTCAACAGCTTCCCTTACTCTGCTCCCCCATCAGTAACTCTCCAAGCAGTGACTCAGAAGCTCATCATACCCCGCTTCCCTCTCCAAGCAGTAACACAGCATCTCAGCTCAGCCATCAGTAACTCAGCAGCTCAGCTCACCCCGCTTCCCTCTCCAAGCATAGACTCAGCAGCTCAGCTCAGCTCACCCATCAGTAATTCAGTTCACCCTGCTCCCCTCTGCCAACATTAAGGCTGCTTTCACACGGATCCATTTTTCTTCCTCTTTTGCGTTAAAAGTTTCTATGGGACTCTTCACACTGATCTACTGTGGGTCCAGGGCATCAAAGTGCTGCTTGCTGCATTTTTGGTGCAGGTTTGGTGCAGAAAAAAAAAAAAAAAAAAAAAAACTACCAAAAAGTGCACTTCCCCATTGAAATCAATGGAAAAGTTAACAAGAATGCATTAAAAACACACCTGCATGTCATTCGTGCAATTTATAAGTCACATGTCCAGTATAAATGCAACAAAAATGTGGCAAAAACACTGAAGCGATTGTGAAGGTAGCCTTAAGCCTGGGTCACATTATGCAATTTGCTTTTTTGATTTGCAGTGCTCTTTTGCTGTACTTTATTGCACACACAATTTTTCACGTGTTTTTTGATCCATTTTGTGTTATTTTTTTTTTTTGTTGTTATGCAGGTTAAAAATGCAAAATGCATAAAAAAATGCACTAAATGCATTTCTGACGCATATCCACTGAAGTCTACTGAACCAAAAATGCACTTAAAAAAAGTCTGTGACCCATTTCAAAACCGCAGCAGCTGAAAAATGCATAGATGTGAATGTGCCCCGTAGGAAACCATGTTAAATGGACTGTAGTGCGTTTCTGCAAAATGCACTAAAAAAATGCATTGGTGTGAACCAGACCACATACTCAGCAGCCTTCCAATATCAATGGTTCAACCCTGAGCAGGAGTTATGGGAGGGGAACAGGTTGAGCTGAGCTTTTTAGAGACTGACTTGAATGACTTCAGAGCTTCAAAACGCACTTTGCTTCCAACTCCAGGCAAAGCGCACAGCGCAGTCTTCGCCTCTTTATAGGGAACATGACGAAGGCTCTCCAACCAGTCCAGGCCGTGCTTATGTAAGATGGTCCTCGCACTCTCGCTGACGAACTTTGCTCTGTACCCAAAGCCCAGGTTACGTAACTTGGTCTCGGTGTCATCAGCTGTTGTGCAAAACAAGGGGACAGAATAGGTCAACTATTGGGCAACACGTCACATAAAGCCGCACATGTCAACAAGATGGATTAAACGTCTAGCAATCAGTATCTTATATTGAATGACATATGTATGACAACATAGGTATGTGTAGTATGTTCCAGAACACGGCTTGCTGTGCTGAGAGATGCAGAATGAAGGATGAATCTTCTAGAAGTAAAAATTGTTCGATAATATTGCCAGAGACCCTAGCTCCACCTAAAGGCTGCGATGCAAAACAGCACTTCATCATTGTCATACCACAGAAGTGTGTTGTCTACTCTACACCAGCCTTTCTCAACCTTTTTAACAAAGAGGAACCCTTGAAATAACTTTCCGGGCTCAGAGAACACCGGCAAAAATTACTGTATGCACAACACATCATGCATTATGGTGATAGTCAGTGGGAAGAATGATCCGTATACTAGTGGTCATCGGGAAGAATGATCCTTATACTAGTGGTCATCGGGAAGAATGATCCTTATACTAGTGGTCATCGGGAAGAAGGCTCCTTACACTTGTGGTCATCGGGAAGAAGGCTCCTTACACTTGTGGTCATCGGGAAGAAGGCTCCTTACACTTGTGGTCATCGGGAAGAAGGCTCCTTACACTTGTGGTCATCGGGAACTTGTGGTCATCGGGAAGGGCTCCTTACACTTGTGGTCATCGGGAAGAAGGCTCCTTACACTTGTGGTCATCGGGAAGAAGGCTCCTTACACTTGTGGTCATCGGGAAGAAGGCTCCTTACACTTGTGGTCATCGGGAAGAAGGCTCCTTACACTTGTGGTCATCGGGAAGAAGGCTCCTTACACTTGTGGTCATCGGGAAGAAGGCTCCTTACACTTGTGGTCATCGGGAAGAAGGCTCCTTACACTTGTGGTCATCGGAAGAAGGCTCCTTCCTTACACTTGTGGTCATTGGGAAGAAGGCTCCTTACACTTGTGGTCATTGGGAAGAAGGCTCCTTACACTTGTGGTCATCGGGAAGAAGGCTCCTTACACTTGTGGTCATTGGGAAGAAGGCTCCGTTACACTTGTGGTCATCGGGAAAGAATGATCCTTACACTTGTGGTCATTGGGAGGTCAGGGAATGATCCTTACACTTGTGGTCATCGGAGAGAATGATCCTTACACTTGTGGTCATGGGTCATTGGGAAGAATGATCCTTTTTGCGCATGCGCAGTGGGGCACTTGGCTGTGAAGCCGCAAGCTGTCACAGCCAGGTGCCCACACTGAAGATGCCGGCGCCGGGGGGGAGAAGACGGCCAGTGAAACCAGCCATGGTGAGAACACTGCTGGACCAAGGGACAGTTAAGTGTCTGTATTTTAAAAGTCAGCAGCTACAGTCTTTGTAGCTGCTGACTTTTGTTCTTTTTTTCAGCCGGAACTCCGCTTTAAGTGATTTATACGACACAGGACAAGCCCCTGACAGCATTTAGTGCCTAGGGTCCACAGTAGAGCGACCTGATCTAGGGTTTGGGGGAAGCACACTCTGCATTTTGATTTTGGACACTCCAGCCAGTTAGAGAGCAATTTTCAATACACACTCAATGGTCCCTTTATTAGGTCCATCTTACTAGTGCCAAGAAAATCACCACATCATCACACCACCAGCCTGAACCGTTGATACAAGGCAGGATGGATCAATGCTTTCATGTTGTTTACGCCAAATTCTGACCCTACCATCTGATTGTCACAGCAACCAGTCTGCCCATTCTCCTCTGACCACAGACATCAACAAGGCTATTTCGTCCACACAACTGCCGTTCACTGGATAGTTTCTCTTTTTCAGACCCTTCTTTGTAAACCGTAGAGATGGTGGTACCTGAGAATCCCAGTAGATCAGCAGTTTTGGAAATACTCAGACCAACCCGTCTGGCACCAACAACCATGACATGTTTAAAGTCACCTAAATCCTCTTTCTTCCCCATTCTGATGTTTGGTTTGAACTTCAGCAAGTCATCTTCACCACATCTAGATGCCTAAATGCATTGAGCTGCTGCCATGTGATTGGCTGACTAGCAATTTGTGTTACCAAGCATTTGAACAGGTGTACCTAATAAAGTGGCCGGTGAGTGTATGTCATGTGGGGTTCATGGGGTTTTGGTAGATGTTCATTTTTACTTGAGCACGGTGTAATGGTGGATGAACCTGAGATGGAGGAGTGTGCACAGCAATAGGGGACTCACACCATTATAGCAAAGGACTCTTTTGGTGAAATTTTCTTTGCACTGGATGAATTTAAAGGCACATGCATGTTAGCCTATGTGGACTTCTATAAGGGGGTTTACACGACTAATATCCAATCTTTCTTGGAATATTGGGACTTTTGTTTTGAATCAACTCATTTATGAATTTAAAAGGCACATGCACTTTATTTTAAACCTGTAATTTCATTATTTATTCACGGATATGCCTATACAGGGGCGGACTGACAACTCATGGGGCCCCCGGGCAATAGGGCATCATGGGACCCTGTGTCCTTGCCCAAACTCAAAAAAGCCAATGAAAAAGGTACCAGGGGCATCTAATGGGGCCCCCCCGGGCCCTCGAGCAGTGCCTTAGTAGAGAATAAAGAGTACAAGCACAACTAGATGGAATCTAGAATCCTAGGTCAAAACTAAAAGTGGTTTGCTTTTGAACATGGCTCTCCTGCAGCCAGTTGATGTTCAGAGAGACGGCTTACCCGCCAACGCCTGGAGACTGGGGAAGGAGTAATAGTCCACAGAATCGAGTCGGCACAGGCGTCTTCCTAGAGTGCTGCAAACTCGCTCGATCATTCCTGTGATACGGGAGATGTGGTTGTTGGAGGTACAGATGAATGAGAAGAGACATTCTAAGGGATCCTGGCGCAGCATGCGAATTCCTGGAGGGAGAGAGGCGGCAACACATTACTTCACAGATTATAGCACAACGCAGCAGCACAAGGAGAATGGGATTGCACAATGAGGCTGATTTACAAAAGGAGTTGAGTATCTTTACTCAGTAAGGGCTCATGTACACTGCAGCTGATAAACAGACGTTCAGGAGCTGTTGAGCATTTTTTTCAGCAGCCCCTGAACTCTCCCTAATGTTTTCCTATGTGTCCATGTACACATCGTCGTTTACAGGCAAATGCTTTTAAACACGTGTATACGCGGTTAACTGCGTTTATAAGTGTTTGCGTCTAGAAGCGTTTAAATGTTCCATATCCAGATGCTGTCCAGAGCCTTTTTTCATCATCAGAAATGCATGCACAGCGTTTTCCATGTACTCAAATGGACCCGGTACACCAGCGCTGTCAGTTTCAGGTTTTGCAAGAAGTAAAAAATTGTAGGACGTGCCGCATTTTGCTCATGATGGGATCCATAGTGAATACAACCAGAAAAGACAGGTCATCTCAACACATGCTGCTCTCTCTGCTTCTGCGCTCTCTATTCCTCTCAAAATGTCTGAAATAGTTAGTTTGTTTACTATTTTTCAGTGCATTCTGGGCATTTCGGAAGGTCTCCTGAGGTTAGCCATTAAAAACGCTTCTAAAACGCAAACGTGCATAAACGCGTTATGCAAACGCAGCTAAACTGACATTTTTTTAACCTGCGTTTTCCAGCAGTCAGTTTCCATAGTTCAGAAGAATTTTCCAAACGCCCCGTGTACATGAGCCCTAAGGCTGCATTCACACCTGAGCTTTTTATAGCCTGAAGCTTGAAGATGCTCAAGAAGCAGAATCCTATTCATTTCAATGGCTTCTGTTCACACTCATTTTTTGCTTGTTGAGCATCTTCGAGCTTCAAAACACTCAGGTTTGAATGCAGCGTAAGCCCTGGTTCACACTAATGCGGTGCCAGAAACACAAATTCTGTGCGTTTTTCACACCGCATTACAATCGCATGGCCTTCATGCGACCTGGTACGGGTGTCAATGGTAAATTAACGACACCCCAAAACAGATCGCAAAATGCAGTGCAATTACTAGAATTCTTATCACATGGGTTTGAACACCCCCATATGATGAGAATCAGGTGCGGGAAAAAAAGGGTCCTGCACCTTTTTGGTGTGGATGCGATGTGACTGGAGCCATATGAAATGTATGACTCAAATCGCACTGCACAGACATTATTATTATTATTATACAGTATTTATATAGCGCCAATAGTTTGCTCAGCGCTATACATTATAATGGGAGACAATACACGAGACAGTACAGTAACAATACGATTCAATACACGAGGGGTTCGAGGGCCCTGCTCCTTGGAGCTCACAATCTAGGAGGGAGGGGATAGTGGTACAGGAGAAGATAGCTGTGGGGGATGGAGTGGTAGGAAGAGCAGAGGAGTTCAGTAATTAGGTGAGGGCGGGGTAGGCTTCCCTGAAGAGATGGGTTTTCAGGGTGCGCCTAAAGGTGAGGAGAGTAGGTGACAGTCTGATGGATTGGGGTAGGGAGTTCCAGAGGATGAGGGAAGCCCTGGAGAAGTCCTGGAGACGGGCATGGGAGGAGGAGACCAGGGGACTAGAGAGAAGGAGGTTTTGTGAGGAGCGGAGAGTGCGTTTTGGGTGGTATTTGGATACCAGATCGGTGATGTAGTTTGGGGCAGTATTATGAACAGCTTTATACGTCAATGTTAGTATTTTGAATTTTATCCGTTGGGCAATCGGAAGCCAGTGGAGGGATTGGCAGAGGGAGGTGACGGATACGGATGTGATTTACACAGGAATGCGGTGCAGTTCCTGCATGAATAACATGCGATGTGCTGCACTGCATCAGCTTGAACCGGGGCTGATTGAAGTGAAGATTCTCAGCTCCTTTATTAATAAACCTCATAAAAACAAGACGGTATCACTGGGGACCTTGGTATGGTTACCACTAGGACACTAGCAATATAAAGATCGAATGTTCTCCCATGTTTGTACAGTTTTAAAGATGGATCAACACTTATGTGTTTTGAAACCAATGGAAATGCAATAAAAACGCATATCAGCACACGTTGATGCATGTGTTGAGATGCATCAAGCAAAAATCCAAAAGTGTGAATCCAGCCTTAGGAGCACAGTTCACCTTTTGCAAAAGTGAAATAAATGCATCAACACTGATATACTAAAAATGTGCCCTTATTATATGATTGCTTTGGTGCCAGCAGAGCATTGCAACACTGATAAGTGCATTGCAGGAGCCCTCCACAAGTTTTTGTACAACTTTCCCTCAGCCACAGCTAGGACCAGATTTAGACCTTGGGAGGCCCAGGGCACTTCAGGTTTGGGAAGGTGGGGGGGGGGGGGCTTTATACACAGAGTTGGTTTACATTCTCAATGACAGTCGCACATGACAACGTTATTCTGAGGTCATGCGTGCACACATACATGCAGTTACAGCACTTTATGTGTGGTTTGCTTGAGCTGCCAAAATTTGTTTTTAAAAGTGATACGATATACCAGTCCAGAGCAGGGGCAGACTGACAACTCATGGGGCCCCCGGTAAATAGGGGATCATGGGGCCCCTGTGTCCTTGCCCAAACTCAAAAAAGCCTATGAAAAAGGTACCAGGGGCATCTCATGGGGCCCCCTACTGACCCCGGGTCCTCGGGCAGTGCCCGAGTTTCCAAATGGTCAGTCCGCCCTTGGTCCTTTACAGATGATGGTTGGCAAAATATTACTTCCCAAAGATTCATGTAATAAAAGAAAGCAATTTTTTATTATATTATTTTTTTATTTTTTTATATCTTTTTTTTTTTTTTTTTTAATAGTTTTTGTACAGAGGGGGGCTCCTATCAGGGGGCTCAGGGCAGTTGCCCCTTCTATCCCCTTATAAATCTGACAGTGGCCTCAGGTCTGTATGGAGGTATGAACCTGGTTGGAGGAAGTTCCAGTGAACGACACTGGTAAGGAAAGAGGGATCCCTGCTCTTTACAGGACTCATAGTAAAGGAATGCAAATATTAAACCCAGATGACACAACTGTGTAGACAGAGCTATGCACAGCCAAGCTAAATTAACAAAAATTAAAAAAAACAAACAAAAAAACATTCTCTGAGGGCTGCATCCCACAATTCAGGTAAGGGGAAGAGGGTGGTGTGTATGCCACCATGTTTTTGGCCTAAATATGTTTGAAAAAATATTATTATACAGGATTTAAATATGGCAACAGTCTCTGCAGCACTTTACAAAAATTAGGGCAGGCAGTACTCACCATTATAATACAAGAGGAATCAGTGGGCCCTCATTTAGAGTTTAAAGTGTTTACTAAACCACAACAGTACAATCAGTCTGTATATACAGTAAAGCATACTTGTTATACTCACTGTGGAACCTAAGGGGTTAAATCTCCGCATTGTGTAAAAAGGATGTTTGATCCTGACTTCTCTGAGCATCCCCTTCTTCTACTGCCCCCAATCTATCTGCTGATAGTACAGAGTTCTAGGAGTGACTCTGCACATGCTCCGTTTGGTGTGTCATGCTGGAGTGTTTTTTTTTTTTTCTTTGGGAGGGTGCATGTGATGAGCACAAGGCCAGTCAGCGCTGTCCAGAAAGAGGGTCAGGGGTCCTGCATCCTCATACGACAGTCAGAGCCAAATGAAAACTCCTCCTACAAGATTACCCAGTGCTCAATCAGGCACTTATCAAAGTCACAAGACTGCTACAGTATCTCCCAGAAGTGAGTACAACCCTCACATTTTTGTAAATATTTGATTCTATCTTTTCATGTGACAACACTGAAGAAATGACACTTTGCTACAATGTGACGTAGTCAGTGTACAGCTTGTATAACATGTAAATTTTCTGTCCCCTCAAAATAACTTAACACAGCCATTAATGTCTAAACCACTGGCAAAAAAAAGTGAGTACACCCCTAAGTGACAAGGTCCAAATTGGGCCCAGTGAGCTATTTTCCCTGCCCGGTGTCCATGTGACTCGTTAGTGCCTCAGGTATGAATGGGGAGCAGGTGGGTTACATTTGGGGTTATCGTTCTCACTCTCTTATACTGGTCACTGGAAGTTCAACATGGCACCTCATGGCAAAGAACTTTCTGAGGATCTGAAAAAAAGAATTGTTGCTCTACATAAAGATGGCCTAGGCTATAAGAAGATTGCCAAGACCTGAATCTGAGCTGCAGCACGGTGGCCAAGACCATATAGCGGTTTAACAGGACAGGTTCTACTCAGAACACGCCTCGTCATGGTTGACCATAGCGGTTGAGCGCACGTGCTCAGCATCATATCCAGAGGTTGTCTTTGGGAAACAGATGTATGAGTGCTGTCAGTGATCAGACCATACGCTGGTTGTTGGAGTTGGTACTCATCAGCATCCCTAACAACCAGCCAATGACCGGTGAGTGCTGGCTCCGCCATTTACCAGTTAAGTGCCCTGGCATGTGCCGGCTACTTAACAACCAGTGAATATCAGAACCTGAACCAAACAGCATCCTTAAAGTGGTTCTAAAGGCTCAAGGTTTTTTTACCTTCATGTATTCGACGCATGAAGGTAAAAACCTTCTCTGTGAAGCATTCCCCCAGCTTTCCCCCCCAAAAAAAAATTCTCAATTCAGCGATGTGCACTGGAGTCTCAGCTATCCTGGGACTCCCTCTTCTCATTGGCTGAGACAGAAGCGGCAGCCATTGGCTCCCACTGCTGTCAATCACAGCCAGTGAGCCAATGAGAAGAGAGAGGGGGGTGGGGCTGAGTCACAGCTAGGTGTGTGAATGGGAACATGGAACAGCGGGTGCCCCCATAGCAAGCTGCTTGCTGTGGGGATACCTGACAGGAGGGAGGGGCCAGGAGCGCTGGTGGAGGACCCGAGAAGAAGAGGATCCGGGCTGCTCTGTGCAAAGCCACTGCTGCACAGCAGGTAAGTATAGACATGTTTGGTATCGTTAAAAAAATAAGCCTTTAGAATCACTTTAGCAACCATCTATTCATACATATGCATTGCATTACATTTTAACACATAGCGCGGTTTAAAGCACAGCAGTGTGAAACCAGCCTTAGATTCATGTTGACAGCCTTTGTATGTTCCCTGAAAAAGTGCTGAATAGTTATAAATATGACATTCTATTAAAAAAATCTAATTACAAAAAATACACAGATGTACAGTAAATTAGATACTTACCTGAAAACTCTCTGGCTACTTTCTGAAAGTTGGTGTCTGATTCTCCCCACTGCTTATAGAGATCCTGGAGACTGAGGTGGAGCTGGAAATAATCCTCCAGTGTTTCCCCGTCTTTCTTGCAGTCTTTGGAGTCGATATGAATGGTTACATTTGTCCAGTCATTGTCTTGTTCTTGTTTAATGTCTTCAGTGTTGATGGCCCCGAAGGTTGTCTTCTGCAGCTTTCTCTTTGTGGCCTTCTTCTCTGGTTCCTTCTCTGGTTTCCCCTCATCTTCCTCTGTGTTGGGGTACACAGCGTACCAGAGGTGGTCATCCTTCTGTGTCAGGGTCCACACACGCCCATGTACCACGCCAGTCCAGAAACCTGGACTGCTCTCCCTCCACCTGAGCGAAAATGACAAGTTTTTCATTAATTACACTGGAAGAAACTATTCCATGTGTGTCTGCAGCTTCCCTAAAGCACCAAGCACAATGGCAACGCCTTTATGAGGACGTTATATCGAAGTTGAAGATCTGGCTGCCTTGTGTTTTAATGCAATGTGATAGGAGAGGTAAAGCAGTACCTTAAAGCTGAACTTTCCTTGGACCAATAGAATATATATATATATACCATACCTCTAGGATCCCTCTAAAAACAGGGGTTTCCAAACTTCACAAACAAAGGGCCAGTTTACTGTCCTTCAGGGGAGCCGGATTGTGGCCAGTGGGGTAGAAAATGTCCCAGGCCCAGCATCAGTGAGAATAAACATCACCACAGGGTTGGTAGTCAGTTATATAGCACCTGTGGTCAGTAGGAGGAATAGTGGCCCATCATTGGTATTACTGGGTGGAACAGTACCCCACCATTGGTATCAGTGGGGGGAATGGTGCCCCACCATTGGTATCAGTGGAGGGAATGGTGCCCCACCATTGGTATCAGTGGAGGGAATGGTGCCCCACCATTGGTGTCAGTGGAGGGAATGGTGCCCCACCATTGGTGTCAGTGGAGGGAATGGTGCCCCACCATTGGTGTCAGTGGAGGGAATGGTGCCCCACCATTGGTGTCAGTGGAGGGAATGGTGCCCCACCATTGGTGTCAGTGGGATGAATTTTGCCCCACCATTGATATCAGTGGGAGGAATGGTGCCCCATCATTGATATCAGTGGGATGAATGGTGCCCCATCATTGATATCAGTGGGAGGAATGGTGCCCCATCATTGATATCAGTGGGATGAATGGTGCCCCATCATTGATATCAGTGGGATGAATGGTGCCCCATCATTGATATCAGTGGGATGAATGGTGCCCCATCATTGATATCAGTGGGATGAATGGTGCCCCATCATTGATATCAGTGGGATGCATGGTGCCCCATCATTGATATCAGTGGGATGCATGGTGCCCCATCATTGATATCAGTGGGAGGAATGGTGCCCCATCATTGATATCAGTGGGAGGAATGGCGCCCCATCATTGATATCAGTGGGAGGAATGGCGCCCCATCATTGATATCAGTGGGAGGAATGGCGCCCCATCATTGATATCAGTGTGAGGAATGGCGCTCCATTTTGATATCAGTGTGAGGAATGGCGCTCCATTATTGGATATCAGTGTGAGGAATGGCGCTCCATTATTGGATATCAGTGTGAGGAATGGCGCTCCATTATTGATATCAGTGTGAGGAATGGCGCTCCATTATTGGATATCAGTGTGAGGAATGGCGCTCCATTATTGATATCAGTGTGAGGAATGGCGCTCCATTATTGGATATCAGTGTGAGGAATGGTGTCCCACTATTAGTGTCAGTGGCAGGAATTATGCCCCACTATTGGTGTCGGTGGAAGGAATAGTGCCTCATATCAGTGGGAGGACTAGCAAAGGGTCGCAGTTTGGAGACCACTGCTCTAAGAGCTGGAAATCACTTGTACTCCAGTGATCTCCACTAGCTTACAGATCCCATGCTGAGCGACTGCCCTGCTGCACTGTGAACACAGGAGGTCGGCTGCTGGGCACGGGCACCAGTCACAGAATGCTTTGCATTATCTCAATGAATGCAAAGTGCTCTCTTATTTGATAAGGTGGAGAGTATGACATCACTGCCCCACTTCTCCATCTCGTCCAATCAACAAATGCTTTGCATCTCTGTTATGCAAAATGCAAAAGCATTCTCTGAATGGCGCACGTGCTGGGCAACCGACGTCCTGTATTCAGAATGCAGTAGGGCAGACGCTTCACGCAGGACCCGGGAGCTAGCAGAGGTCACTGAACAGTTCCTACTACAGGGATTTCCAGCTTCCAGGGGGATCCTGCTGGTTTGGTATGTGTATAGCTACATTGTTCCAAGCTGAACCAATGTAACTATGTAATAAGTGTCATACATGGAATTCTTTGTTCATTTTTAAGCTACATTTTTTAACAAATTTGTGTAAAAGTTGAGTAACCTCACAGAAGCCAATCATAACTAAAAAAAAAAAGGAAAAAGAAAAAAAAAAAAAAAAAAAAAAAAAAAGACCAGCCCTAATCCCACTTACACTATTTCCTTAACCTCTTGCTGCCCATTTAATGCATATGTGCAGCAGCAAAGAGGACGGGCATTAATGCCTGCAGGCAGCACAAGTGTGTATATGGATGGGTGAGGTTTCTGTGCCCAAAGCACTCACTGCGTGCTCCCAACAAAGTGACCAGGCTGTCATAGAGAGCTGCTGTCTCTAGCAATGATTGGGAGCTGGTAGGCCTAGCTCCCCATCATGTGACCCGTGGCTGCCAATCACGGCAGTCACGTGAATGGGCTGCTCTTCCTGTCCCCCGGGTATAAAGACCCAGTTAAAGAGATGCCAGGGCTGGGTGGAAAGAGGTTAAGGACCTTGTCAAGGGTTTTTTTTTTTTCCACAAAAAAGCATGCAAAAAGAGATTGGCTTCATGTAAATACTTAACAACAGGGCTTTTTTCAGCGGGAACGAGGGGGAACTGAATGTATTTAATGGCAAGGGGTGCTGGAGTGTGCTGCAGGGTCTATTGATGCTGGCTGCAAGGGGATCTATTGTTGCTGGAGGGGATCTATTTCTGTGGGGGGGGGGGGGGTGTCTATTGCTGCTGGGGAAGTCTATTGTTGCTGGGGTGGATCTTTTTTTTTTTGCTGGAAGGTCAATGGTTCCTGGGAGAGATCTACTGTTGAGGGAGGGGTCTATTGTTGCTCGCCGGTGAAGGGTTCATTCATGCTGGCTGTGTATTCTATTGTTTCTGGGGTGGATCTTATCTTGTTGGGCGGTCAATTGTTCCTGGGAGAGATCTACTGTTAAGGGAGGGGTCTATTCATTCATGTTGTATTCTATTGCTTATCTTGTTGGGCGGTCAATTGTTCCTGGTGATCTACTGTTGGTTATTGTTGCTCGCCGGTGAAGGGTTCATTCATGCTGGCTGTGTATTCTATTGTTTCTGGGGTGGATCTTATCTTGTTGGGCGGTCAATTGTTCCTGGGAGAGATCTACTGTTGAGGGAGGGGTCTATAGTTGCTCGCTGCTGAAGGGTCCATTGATGCTGGCTGTGGGGAGATCTGTTGTTGCTGTTGGGGGGGAAGGGGGTCTGTTGTTGCTGGGGAGTATTTTGTTGTGGGTAGTCCATTGTTGCTGGGGGGAATCTATTTGACTGCTTTTCTTGTTATCATTTACAAAATTCCATACAATTGGCTTTGTAATCTTTCAAAGGGACACTACTGGGAGGTGGGTAGGGGGTGGAGCCAAGGAATGGTGCTCAGGGGTGGGTAGAGGCACAGTCAAAGGGTGACTCGGAAATGGGGAGTTCCTGCACCTGTTCTCTGAAAAAAAAAGCCCCGCTTTTCAATCTGCATTTTACAAACCCTGTTTCTATAAAGATTGTATACATACATATGGGCAGCCATATTTCCTCATTACATACACAGGCTCTGCTTCATGCTTTGCAGTGCTTCACAATAGTTGTGCTATACAGGTTAATGTCTCTGTATTGGATGACTCGTGGAAAACAGTGCACTCCCTGTGCGGCCATCTACCCCTAGGGGATAATATAGGGAGCTGAGAGCTGAAATTACACACTGAAGAGCTCAGTGAGGAAAGCTGTGAGAGCCGATTGGAGAGAAGAGACACAACACCCACCTCCACACAGCTCACAGGTACAGAGCTGAGCCTGTCAATCTGCTGAAGGTCCCTCCCTGTCACCATTTTTCTCTTGGTGTCAGGAAAACTTGTCAGAAGTGATTCATGCTGATAGCAGAGGAACAAAAACAGCAGACAGAAATGATACTGTGTGCTCTTAATTGAGACAAGTACACACTGTAGAGGGAAATGCTTTTTTCATATTTCATGTCTGAGGTTTACAACCACTTTAAGCAAACAGTGCAATACTTACTTGACAATATAACTGGCTTTTGCAGTTATTAACATAGGAATTTGGAAATTCTATTTTTATATACAGTTTTATATAAAGCAATTTACCGAAAAGATTGGCCACCTGGAAGCACAAAATCCAGCCTGAGTTCAGAGGTCGGGCAAGGCAAAGAACGCCAAAGTGCAGGACACGCTGACAGGGACGTGAGATGACGCATTTTCTTATAGTGACCTAAACAGAAATGAATTATTGTTATAAAGACAATATAAAAAAGGAAAGATTAGAAAAATAGAATACAATCTTACAATAAAAAACTGGTCTTTACTGGCTTATTTAAAGAGGGACCTAAACTGTGCCCAAAAAAAACGGCAGGCAGATGGCAATGGACTAGTCACCAGTACTATCTGTGGTCTCCCTGCAGCTGGTCCTTTCCCCATTACTGACCTAGCATGCCTTGTTCTTTGCTGCACAAACAATCCAATAAAAGTGCCAGGAGAGAAAGAAAGCACCGAGTCACAGAACATATGAACCAGAAGCAGGGAGATCCTTGCACTGCAGGTCTTCAGGTACAGCTTCCTCTCCAGCCAGGAGAACAGTGAGCTGCACAGTAGTGACATCACCAAATCTTCCTCCAGATCTCTGGGCACTAGCAAACAGAGGCAGCAGTGCTTTAGATGATTTCACACTGTAGATATAAAGCTACTGTACGAGCTTACAGAACAGGAAGTACACTTCTAATTCTTAAGAAGGATTCAAGACAATAGGTAATTTTTTTTTTCCGGGTACTGCTTAGGCACAATTGACATTCTCAACAACATACCAACTCTTCACTTAATTTCAGTTACAGTTTAAAAAAAAACACCACTAATTCCAGAAATACAGTGACTGATATAGTAAGGCAAAGAAAACAAATCCTCTAAATTTCTACTTCGTATCAATAAAAAAATCTTGTTCAAAGATATTACCGGGACATTTCTGCTAATCCTCCATGAAACAGAATTTTTATTGGACTGTCATAAAACATTACAAAAAAACCTTGTGATAATAAGGCTTCCTTATAGTCTACAAAAAAAAACAAGCAGAGCCGTTAGAATTTTGAGAATATATATATATATATATATATATATATATATATATATTCGATTCTCAAAATTCTAACGGCTCTGCTTGTTTTTACATATCACACACACAAAATTCTGACCACTGACAGGTAACATTGACTATCTCATTACAATGGCACCTGAACGTTGGTGGAATATACACTATATTGCCAAAAGTATTGGTCCAGCCCTCAAATCATTGTATTCAGGTGTTCCAATCCCCTCCATGGACACAGGTGTATAAAATCATCACCTAGGCATGCAGACTGCTTCTACAAAACATTGGTGAAAGAATGGGTCGCTCTCAGGAGCTCAGGGACTCCAAGCGTGGTCCAGTGATAGGTGGTCACCTGTGCAATAAATCCATCCGTGACATTTCCTGGCTACTAAATATTCCACGCTCAACTGTTAGTGGGATTATAACAAAGTGGAAGCAACTGGGAACAACAGCAACCCAGCCACCAAGTGGTAAGCCACGTAAAATGACAGAGCGGGGTCAGCACATGCTAAAGTGCACAGTGCGCAGAAGTTGCCAACTGTCTGCAGAGTCAGTAGCTAAAGACCTCCAAACTTCGTGTGGCCTTCAGATGAGCCCAACAACAGTGCGTAGAGAGCTTCATGGAATGGGTTTCCATGGCCGAGCAGCTGCATCCAAGCCTTACATCACCAAGTGCAATGCAAAGCATTAGATGCCGTGGTGTAAAGCACACCGCCATGTGTACCACCTGTACAGTTTGGTGGAGGAGGGATTATGGTGTGGGGTTGTTTTTCAGGGGTTGGGCTTGGTCCCCTAGTTCCAGTGAAGGGAACTCTTAAGCAGTCAGCATACCAAAACATTTTGGACAATTTCATGCTCCCAACTTTGTGGGAACAGTTTGGGGATGGTCCCTTCCTGTTCCAACATGACTGCGCACCAGTGCACAAAGTAAGGTCAGTAAAGACATGGATTATTCAGTTTGGAGTGGAGGAACTTGACTGGCCTGCACAAAGTCCTGACCTCAACCCGATAGGACACCTTTGGGATGAATTAGAGTGGAGACTGCGAGCCAGGCCTCCTCCCCCGACATCAGTGCCTGACCTCACAAACGTGCTTCTGGAAGAATGGCCAAACATTCCCATAGACACATTCATAAGGAAGGAAAACTGACAAACCGGCATCATGAGTCATGAGCAGCCAAGTCTCATTGATGCACATGGGGAGCAAAGGCTGGTCTGTATAGTTCAAACCAATAGAAGAGCTACTGGAACTCAAATTGCTGAAAAAGTTAATGCTGGTTTTATAGAAAAGTGTTAGAACACACAGTGCACCATAGCTTGTTATATATGGAGCTGTGTAGCCACAGACAGTTTATGGTACCCAATGTGACCTGTGTCCACAGCCATAAGCACCTACAATGGGCACATGAGCATCAAAACTGGACCACAGAGCAATGGAAGAAGGTGGCCTGGTCTGATTAATTCAAGAATGGCTTGAGGAACACAACAATGAGTTCAAAGTGCTGACTTGGCCCTCAAATTCTCCAAATCTCAATCTAATCGAGTTTGCAGGAAAAAAACGAGTCTAAGCCATGGGAGGTTCCACCTCACAACTTACTGCATCCAGAAGGTATTCACAGC